GGCCGAGCTGCCAGGTGGGGTAGGCCGCCTTCCCTCTCTTCTCCTCAGAAAGCGGCCGTGCTCCGGAGCCACAGGCCGCGACGCCGCTGGGAACAAACCACCTCTGAATCTCTTCTTGCAATCCCAACAAAGTGCCGTATTCGGGCTGGCCTGGTCCTTAGCGGGAGCTCTGGGTAAATATTTGCACGATCAGGGGTTGAGGGAGCTCCAGCCAAGCTGATCCTGGCGCCTCACTGAAAATTACGTCAAGGTTTGCTTTAGAAAACTAATTATTGCACTTGGCCTTGCTTTTCATTAAGTTACAACGATGTAAAAAGCATAAATGACTGAAGAGATACAGGAAAGCTTTTCCTCTCTGCCTCATCCATCAATAGTTAACTTTTTTAAAAGTCTGGAAGTAGAAGTTAATGAAACACAGCGCTCCCACGAGACTGCCCTGCTCCGCGGGTTAAACACATCGGCGCAGCATGGGAAGGGGCCTCTCACACATCATTTGCTGGAAGGGCTCTGCGATACCTCCGGCATACGCTGCGGCAGATTTAACTACACGTAAATCCTTGTGGAAATTAGATTATACTAAATCCTGTGCGGAGAACGGCCAGCTCATGACTCTGTAGCCTCACAAATGGTACCCCTAACAGACCAGTTAAAACACAGCTGGAAAAGTGTGATCCTGTGGAAGATGGGCATCTTGGTGACGTTTTAAGGGTTAATTCCGAGTCAATCTTACACGACCACAGCGAAGTTCCCACCAGGGTTTGCCAGGAGGGTTTATTAGTATAGATAAGTGCTTTAGCTGCTGGTGAGATGCGCATTCCCCCGGTCCTTTGCTGTAGCATAAGAAGATGTATCAAAATACAACGGTACTAGAGAAAGGACTTACACTTTGTATAGATAACTTTATGCCCACCATCACCCCACAACCAGGACACGGTATTTACCTCAGACCTAATCTTAGATGGGAATTTATCACAAGACATCTCTAACAGTGACACTTCCCCTATTAGCAAAACAGCAAACGCCGACTTCTTGTGCATGTTTACAGCATTTATCAGCTGGACACCAGCTCTGAACCGAAATAAAATGAAATATGATGCAATTGGTGGTAGGCTCCTTGTGAAATCAACCTTAAATTTGTTGTTTGTTTGTTAACAATTGTTAAACATTGTTGGAAGTGTCTCGAAAACAGAAGCCCTGGGGTTTCTCGACCAGCAAGGTGTGATAATTAAAAGATGCTAACTGCAGTCGTTATGCATAGCCAGAAAAAGTAAAAACACAGCACTGAGCTCCCGTTCCACATCAGGCCCTTCAGCCAGCCAGTCTCCATCTACCGGCACAAGTCAGTAACATCCCTTTCGGGTGCTTATTTCTTACAGAGAGGGAAACAAACCCCCACACACACCTCCCACAGACAATATAACTTGGGACACCTCGAAGTCCAATTTAAAACTGTTGCCCCTAAATCTACTACCTTTCCCTTGCGTCTAAAGCTAGTAACAGCTGCAGACACCTTTATTTACACACCAAAGGTGCCCAAGTTTCATTTACAGTTACATAAAATATGTATTTCAGTGTATGAAAAATCTGGATGGCACTAGTTTTTAGCATCATCTCTCAAACACAGGGGACCTTTTATCTCCTTTAACAAGCTGCCTGTAGCTAAGTACTAGACCTGGCCTTAACACATGGTGGCAGGAAAAAAATAAACGCAAATCTGTGGTTAAATTAGAATCACGAGAGACCCTTGGCAGGATGTGGAAGAGCAAAGCTCAAGCCTGAGTGAACTTTTATGGAAACATTCAACGCATCAGCTGGATGATCCAGGAGAGAAAGAAATCACTTGGCTACTTTGAGCTACTGGAAGAAGGAAGCACTGGTTTATTCGGTTTTGGTACGCAAGCCCTGATCCTGGCAACATCATCATCAGTGATTCTAGGAGCCCTGCCAAGGAGGAAGGTAGTCATTCCTGCCGGCCTGGCCAACCTTAGGTCCCCAGCATCCCACTCACAGACAGCTGTGAAGCAGGGGGTTCTCCAGTAACCTGTGTGAAATGGGCAAACCCGTAATAAGAGACCTGCATGAAAACCACGTCTTGGGGGGCTGAGAAACGGCTAGAGCTCCCCAGAGCACAGCACGACAAGGAGAGATCATCTGAGACCGGACCACACTCCGGCAAGGCTGTTGCCACACTTGCTGAACAGTATCAGGTCCTCTGGATTCCTTTCTTCACCTTTAAAAAAGGCTTTTTAAATATTTTAGAAGTGTAGAGCGCTGTGCACGCGCCCTGCGTAGGAACGGGTGTGGAGAGACACGGGCATGGAGCGACAGGGCTAGAGACCACTGTCTGCAAACAGTCCTGAGACAGCGCGGCTCTGCCCAGGTAAAGGTTTTGACTGTCTGCAGCAGTCACTGGAGCTGGTCATTACCACTGGTGACACATACGGAAAAAAGATTAAGAAGAACCTGAGACAGCAGAATTATTATAATAACCCTCCCAGAGGCCAAGAAGCGACCATATAAACACCGATGAAAATAAGAACTATAGTGATATTTATCATCCTGGAAACATATTAATATAAAACATATATTAAAAAAAGCCTTCTGGTTCATGAAACAGCTTTTGTTTTTCTTAAAACCGATTGTCACACTGAAGCCATATTACAAACAATTCCACACCGATCAGAAACAACCTGCCTACAGCACAGTTTAAGAAAAAAAAAAAAAAGAAATAAATAAAAGTTGGCAGACTGACCTCTGCTTTGGATTTTTGCTCAGGTATGAAGATGTTTTCAAGGAGGCATAAAGGATAGAGATCGACAGGTTCTCAGAAGAGAAGCCAGATGGTTTTGAGAAGGCAGGAGATACGCCACAGGGGAGGCAGCAGAACAGAACGGCAAAATCTAGTCGATCAGTCTCCTTATAAATTTCATAAAGATAAAATCTGGGGACAAGTACCTCCAAAAATAGGCTCAATGTGAAGAGATCAGTCCCTAGAGTTACTCACTTGAAATTAAGTCATTATTTGAATGAATACAGGAAGAGCAATTTCAAAGCAGAGTCTGCCTTGCTGACAAACAGCAAGCACAAAACGGATCAGCTTCACAGTGCTCCGATTTTACCCTACGGTGTTCTCAGTGATAATATGCGAGTTTTAAAATCAGTCTGACAATAAAATACAGTAAAAATAGTTTTATGTATGACATGACATCCAGCATACTGAACAACATTCCAGCAGCTCTTATTGTAAGATACAAGAACATAGCAGGCCGGAAGAAAAATCAGTTGCTGACTGCATGCACTTAATTATCTGTGTGGATAAGCGACAGCAGACCCAGAATACGTTGAGGTGAAAGGCAAAGCTGCCTGTGCCGAGTGATGTGTGTCGCCCTGAAGTGCTACTTCACTAAAGGGCAACATAAATCTAGTGTTGTAGCCCCGTCTTCCTGCTCATCTTTTACCGTGCCTGTCGGCAGTCAGGACAGTTCTCCAGCCCCAACAATCCTTCCCACCCCATCTCAAGTCACGGGCAGTTTGTTCACCTCAACCCCACTGAAAAAGTAAATCTTAGGGCTTTACAAGACGCTGTCCTGGCTGGCAACGTCCGTAGGTGTCAGACGTCCTCAGTCATTCCTCCCAGTCTTCCATTGCCCACTCGGGCATCTTGGAGCAATACTCAAACTCCGCTCCCTTATAGCGCAAGGCATGTAGGTACATCACCAGCTCCTTGGGAGATGGGTCCCGCCTTGTAATTTTACACTCCACACATAAAGGGTCCTTCTCTTCTGAACTCTTTTCTCCCGTCTGCCCGTCCTGAATCTCACACGAAGTGAGTTCTTTATTTTTTTCAAGCATTTCCAGGTTGGTATCAGAGTTCAGTGAACAAGCTGCTGTGTCATTTCTCTCGGGATCCTTAGCGTCCTTGGCAGGGCAGGAGTTCTCATTTATAGGATCAGCCTGCGCAGACTTTGTGCAGTCACTCGAATTAGCACAGTCTTTATTTTCAGCACTGGAGTTCAAGTCCTCCTCCAAAATACCCAAGATATCCAGGCTTTGTTTGGAACGATGCTCCTCTACTAGCGCCTTAAGGAGTTCTTCATCCGTTTTATCGATCTTGCCACCTTTCCCCCTGTCAGGGCCCCAGGCTTCCATATTATAGATGGGGTCGTTGACAATAGGATGCCCCAAATACTGCAAATGGACCCGGATCTGGTGCGTGCGGCCAGTACGCGGAAGACACTTGACTACGCTGGTCTTGCCATTGTAACTGAGTCTCTGGAAGATGGTTTTGCAGGATTTCCCTTTGGGGTCCACGCGGCACACTCCCACTTTGTAAGAAACAACCAGTATGGGCTCTTCACACACCACTTCGTGTTCTGGAAACTCCCCCACCACACGACAGACATACTCCTTTTCCAGCTACGGAGAGACACAAGAGTAACTCTCAGAAAACAACAGAGAACCGTCTCTGTCCAGATTATACCTGAGTCCCATCCTAGCTACTCCTCTCTTTCTCTTCAGTGAAATACATTTGTAGGCAACATACTGCCAAGATCTTATTACAACTGAACAGGAAAGGGAAAAAAAATAAAATCAGCTATTTAAAGCCAAATTTCTCTCATGCTTTCCCCAACTAGTCGGGAAATCAAGAACACAAGGGCCTGGCCTATTTTCCTCATATTGAATTCAAGAGCCATCTCTCAGTGACCTCCAGTTTACGGTCTTGAAGCAAATCCTGGAAGCTAGTATTCTGCAGCTACAGTTCTGTTGGGGTCAAGAGCCACTGGAAAAATGAGAAAAAACTTCTAAAACTTTTAAAATTGAAAAAGTATTAGATGACTGACACATTTCCACTTACAAACAAAACTGCTCTCTACCTGTTTTGCACAATCCCAGTCAGTTTGCACAGTCCCTTAGGGAAGGGGATCCCTTTCAATCTAGTATTACCAAAACCAATGAAATTTTTAGTCAGCCTTTTTCTCTTGATGCCTCTCGTGCTTAATACAGTAAGAACAGCAAGGTGACCACAAGCTGTTTTGGGAACTTGGACTTGTTTAGACCAAAAATTTGGCTGACTTCGGATCTAACCTGTTTCAAGAAAATACCATGCAAGAGACTCCAAAAACTACTGCAGCCCTTAAGCTCTCACCTGTCTCTCCCGAACCTGCTCATCGATCCTCTTGGATACCTCTGCGGTCTTGGCAAACATAAGTACTCCTGAGGTCATGCGATCGAGTCGGTGAATGGTATGCAACTCCTTCAGATCATGCTCTTTGCCTAGGATGAAGATGACTGTGTTGTGACGAAACCTGCCGCAGGGATGTACTGGCAAAGAGGAGGGTTTGTCCACAACCACCATCTCGTTGTCCTCCACCAAGATCTGGATAGGCTGGGCAGTGACCGGCGGCTCATGGCGATGCACTGTATTCCTGAGAAAATCATTATTCTGCAAAACAGACAGACAATCAGCGTGAATCCAGCCTGCACAACCACCCCATCCGGCCACACACAACGGGGGCTTGATATTGGGAGGGGGGGTAATGAAAGCCCCTTTGTCCCGGAACCCAGGATTTAGCACAACTCTGCGCATCGCCATTTGAATTCGATAACCTGCCTCAGGCACACCTCCGTGCCTCGCCCCTTCTCCGGGGCACGCTGGCCCTGCGCAGGCCTGCCGGATCCGCAAACTCCTGACCCCGCCGGGGTAAGGATCCCCTGGGAGACCCGACTCCCTTTAAACACCGCAGGCGCCAGCACCACCGCGGGGTTACTTCACTGCACCGGCGGTCACGGGGGTGACGCTCGTTGCTAGAGCCCGGCTGCGGTCTCCCACCTCGGGTTACCGGCCTGCCAACCGCCACGCTCGTTA